CGCTGCCCCACCAAAGTCAAGCTCATGCATTAAGAAAGCTCTGCTGAAGAATTCCAAGGTACACAAAGAATGAAATTCCCCTGTCTCTGATCATGAATTAATATCTTCTTAGGAAGGCAGAAACTATAAGGAATCATAATGAAAACTTGGGATCAGATAGAGTAGGTTTGCATCCCAGTTCTGCCATTTGCTAGCCATGAGATCTTGGGTAAAATCCTTGCCCTCACTAAGACTCTGTTTCCACTTCTGTGTAAATTCATTCATTTGACAAATACATGACCTACCATGTGCTGCGTGTTCTAGGTGCTGGGGCTATGGGAGGAAACCCAGCGTGGCTCCTGCTTTCTTGGAGGCTATGTTTAAGAGGAGGTGGAGGGGCAGCGGAAAATGGACAGTTGATATCTTAGGTAAGGATACAAGCTAGCAAACAAGGGGCAGGGTAAGGCCACCAAAAGTGAAGGGGAAGATCCGAGGGTGTGATTTTTCCCTAGGGAATTCTAGGAGAGCTTCTCTGAGGAAGGCAGGCTTTGGATGATACAGAGAGAGTAAGAGAACGTACCTGGCAGAGTTACTGGTAGAACTACATGATCGAAGGATATGAAATCCAGCATCTCACATAGAGTAAGCACCTAATACACATGATTATTATTATTATTATTATTATTTATATTAGCTATAAGGAAGCTTTAGCTAAAATCCATTGGAAAACTGGAATTCATTACAGCCCCTTCATTTTGGGGGGCGGTTATGGCAAAGTCACAGCGTGGGAGATCACACCTTCTGAAATCTACATTTATAACTTGTTAAAAAACAAATTCCAATCTGGCCTAGGTTCCCAGGGCACTGGCAGCCAACCATAACGAGGCAAATAACTCCAGGCTCCTCCTGCAGGGAGAAATATGCTAAGTGTGATTTCTCACCACCCAGCTTCCATCCCAGGCTGATGAAGTCACTAGAACTATGAGTTTCTTTTGACTAGAAAGGGTTCTGAGGGCTGCTTACACCTTGCTATTGGGAGGCTGGGCAGGAAGGCCAGGGGAAACTTGCTAAGCTGAATTACTGAAAACCTTGGGGTCACTGTTCCCGCACTCTGAGGTCAGGGATCTGAAAACCCACTGTGTATGAATGTGGGGGTGAAGAGAGAAAAGTGGAGCGGGTGGGGAGAGAGAGAGAGAGACAGGCATCCTGATCTGGAATAATACTGGTACTAACTGAAAGCCATTTCAAATCCTCCAGTGTACGTGTCCAAGTGTAAGAGCCATAGCTCTTCATTTTCAGTCCCAGCTCTGGAATCACCAGCTGGCAGGCACTGGGCAAGTCACTTCTCTCTTTGAGACTGCACCAGGTTTAAGGGCTCAGGTCCACAGCAAAGGAGATCAAGATTTGATTCTTAGTCCTGCGTGATCCTGGGCATACTACTTAACCTCTCTGAGCCTCATCTGTACAATGGGTATTTAACAGCAAACTGTCCCGCAGGTGGTAGCTGATGCAGATAGAGTGTGCAGCATGGTGCATGGGGTATAATAATACTAGGTACCAGCATTTTCCCTGGCCTTCCCACTGGCTGTTCTGAAGATGAATCAAGGGATTAGGTAAGAAAACAACTGGTGATATAAATGGCACTTTACAGCTATAAGGTGTTATTATTAAATTATCATTATGATTTTTGCTTTGGATGTTATATACAGAGCAGGCAATATGGTGCCTCTCTGGGTAATGAGTGATTGGATTTAAAAGGCTATCTCTTCCGTGAAAAAAGAAAATAGCTACATTCTTGCTTTGAAAAGCTGAGCCTCCTAGCACTGAAACAGAACAGGTTCATTACTCAGTGAGGATTAATTAGCTGTCAGGTATTATTAAATGTTCTCACTCTCAAGATCCGCACAGAACTGGAAAGTATGAAAAGTGAGCAAGAGGTAATCATAAGGCAAGGGAGGGGGTAAAAGCCACAAATGCTGGCAATGCAAATTTCGAGAGAGGAGCGTGTTAGTAAATTACAGTCTGATTAATATCACGTCAGCTCATTCTCTGTTTGGAGTCATTGTTCTGAAACTATGGTCTTCAGGGTTGCTTGTTTTTTGTTTTTTGTTTTTCCCTTCTTCTACTACTGGGATCAAAACGGAAAGGAGGCTGGCCTTTTCAGTGTTTTCATCCAAAGAATGGTGCAGCGTGGATGATTACACTGAAACACAGGATATTGGAAAGCCTAGGAAAGTAGATGGGGTGAAATCAAATATGGGTATTTACAGTATTATAGCAAATGTGTCTCTCTAGTTGATGTAGTAATTGTTGAAATGATTGAAAAGTAGCAGAGGCTCATAAAAAAATGATAGCTCAGGGGGAGCCTTAGAGATGATAAAATCCAGTGACCACAGACCCTCTGTCTCAACCACCAGGGGCTTGTGTTAAACATGTAGATTTCGCTGGATCACCTCCATTTGCTGAAGGGAATCACTGGGGTCGGGTCCCGGGAATCTGGAACTCGCACCGTGGATGCAACAGCACAGACTATTCAGTCCTCTGTGTGGCAGCTCGGAAACTAAGACTGGAGAGAAGAAATGTGATTTGCTGGCCCCGGGTCACACAGCTTGTTAAGACGAAAGCAAGAACCAGAATTGGGGTTTTCTAACTTGCAGCCACACCTCAAGGCCTCCTTCCGCGTTTGATGGGTACCGAGTCCACTTCAGCATCTCCGCTGTAATGGAAACATACACAGAGGCCTTCTCTTCATCATGCGGGCGGCATCTCGGAGCGGCCAACCACAAGTCATATGAAATCCCATAGAATGCCAGGGACACCAGGAACTCTTTGTGGGAACTACAGACGTCATCTGAGAAAGTCCGTCCACAGAGCAAACAAGGACAAGATGACAACTGGGCAGAAGGTCATGGTGTGAACTCCCCAGTGGCACCTAAGCCCTCTGTTTTCCCCACAGGATTGCTGAGTTCCACAGAGCAAAAGACTGTCTTATTCCCCTTGGACAGCCAGTGGATCGCCTGCCGCTCACTAGGTATCAGTGAATGGCTTGTAGACTGAATATAACAGTATAAAAAGTATATGAAAAGGAAAAGAATATGAACTTTCTTGTGTCAGTAGGGAATAATAACAGCTGTGATAATGATGAAGATAATACCAAACCAACAGCAGGGAACACACATTAGTGAGTGCTTTCTGGGAATGAGACACGACAACGTTAAGCACTTCATCACACACAAGATAGCACGAATTTCTCACAAAAATCCCAGAAAGCAGTGAATCCTTGTAATGCACGTGGGACTTGGGAGGCACAAGGACTTTAATTAATATGTCCAAGGTCCCCAGGTGGAAAGCAATGGTGCCACAGTTCTAACCCAGGACAGACTGACTGACTCAATGTCCATACTCTTCACTACTCTACCCTCGGCTCTGCAAAACCTCCGAGCCTTTAGAGCATCAGCCCAGCCTGATATGGAAGACTTGCACGGCAGTTCTTCAGGCTGAAGGCACAGGCTGACAAGAGGAAACAGAATAGCCAATGCTTATTTGCTCAGAAGACCAACGACCAGGTACCCGGGACTACTGGGTACCCGACAGCCTAGCACTGTGGCCGGCGACGAGCCTGAGTTCATAAAGCACCTGCTGGGGGGCCTCTGGATGGCTCAGTCAGTTGAGTGTCCGACTGTTGGTTTCAGCTCAGGTCATGACTTCAGGGTCATGAGATTGAGCCCCACATTGGGATCCGCACTCAGCGGGGAGCCTGCTTGAGAGATTCTCTCCTTCTCCATCTGCCCTTCCCCCTGCTCAGGCTCTAAAATAAATAAATAAAATCTTAAAAAAAAGCACCTGCTGAATAAAGAGAGGAACAAATGAATTAATGAATAAACAAACAAGTGGGCTAATCAGGCACTAATCATTCAATTCCCGTAGCTGCTTCTGAACCTCGAGTGACCACCTCTTCTCCCCACATGTACTGCACTGTGCCCCTTCTCGGTTTTCGGTCTTTAGTAGAGCGGCTGGTATCTGAAAGCACGTATCTGACACAGTTTGGGAAGTCCCTTGGGGCTAGGGCTGGTCTCAACATGTGTCTGCTTTACCACTCAGGTTAAACACATCCAAAACCAAACTCACCACTGAGTCCTGAACCACTTTAACCTGCATCCAGAGAGCCTTCCCTTAAAAGTTTGCTTTTAGAAATCCCTTTTTAACACCACTTTCCTAAGAGACCTTTCCTGGTCTCCCAGAGCCAAATACCATTTCTTCCTCCTTTGATCAAACTATAACTCTCTGACACCCCCTGCATTTCTCTTACTCTATTTAGTGCCATAAGCATCTTTATAGTAGACCTACAAATCCTTTCTCTACCAGACTGTGTATTTCCGGAGGGCAGGGAGGGAGGGGCTCAGACTAACAGCAGAGATCACGTATTGAGGACCGGCCATGGAAGGAGGGCCTTCCACCCCCAGCACATGTTTAGTCAAGTATGGGGTTCACGGTTTTAGGTTGAGTAAGTCATAGGTTCACTGTTTTACAGACAGAGAAACTAAAAATAACTTGCATGACTCAAGTTCAAAAGGGTTAAGTGACCACATGAAATTCTGATGAGGGGCAGAATTCAAACCCAGGCCCATTAGATTCACAAGTTAATGTTCTAAATCACAAGATCCCAACTTGCCACTTGGGTACTCCCATCCCTTGCACCTTGAGTACAAAAGATGCTCAGAACATTTTCGATACTGTGAGCAGAGGCTAAGATTGTAGTAATGCATGGTAGTGGCCTTGTGGGCCAGTCTTGGGATAAATGAAGGACACGCATTTGTAGTGGTCAGAGCTCAGACCCGTCCCGCCCCTCCCTCTGCCGTCAGAGACTCAGAGCGAGTCTCTGCTTCATCTCCTTCACTCACACGTGACAGTGGCAACCTAAAGCCACGCCCAGCCCGTGGCCACACCGGGGAGCCCTTCCTCGGCACCCAGTGGCCAAGAGAAGCGAAAGACGGGAGCCAAAGCTGCCCCCCTGGGCTCACCCTCAAGGTCGTGATGGTGGCAGGATCCCGGAGCCGGCCCTCCTCATCTTTCAGATTGTAACCTTCCGGCCTCTTATCACGCTCGCTGACTTTCCACAGCTTCACAGTTTTATCTGTGGAGGGCAACCAGAGGAAATCAAGATTACAGTGAAAACCATCTTGTCAAGGAGTTTTGTGTGTGGAGAGGTGGCGGGGCAGGAGGCAGGGGGAGGTGGAGCTGAGGATGGAAGGGACTGCTGTTCACGTCAGGGATTCAGGGCATAAATCTTATGTCATCTGGAGGCAGAGCTCAAGTTTCAGCACAAAACCAAATAGCGTGCCCAGACCAATGGCCTATGACACCTGGAGCTTATATATTATTTTGGTTCATTCAATAAAAATATTTATTGAACACTGAATAAGAGCAGTCACATATACAGAACTAGCTGTGTCACTATGTTATTAGCACTTGTCATGGAAAATTTATTTAATGCTCACCATAACCCCAAGAGATAGGTATCCCCATTTCAGGGTCCCACCCCAGCAAGCACGGCCCCGACCGTGACCTGGAAGGCCCTCCGTGACCTGCACTTCCTCACCCTTTCCGATCTCGCCGCCTGCCCCCTTCGCCCTGTGCTCCAGCCATGTGGCTTCTCTACAGCGCCCCGTATACGTTGTGGTCCCCACGCCTGCCTCGGGCTTCGCACTAGCTGCGCCTTTTCCCCGAAAGCCCTCGGCCGTCTTCTGCAGGTGACTTGCTCCTTCACTTTGCTCTGTTCGTGTCCCACCCCCCAGAGGGGCCTTTCCTAACCAACCTGCATCAAAACGTCCCCACCATTCTCTTGCCTGCTCCGCCTGCTTGAATGTTTCCTCTTGCCACTTCTCACTATGTGACAACGCTTTGTTACGTCTCCCTCCTGAGAATGTAAACTCGCTGGAGGCAGGGATTTCTGTCTTGCCCATCACTACACATCTAGCACCTACAACCGTGCCTGGGACACAGTGGATGTTCAATAACTGTTGGGTGCGTGAACGAATCAATCCCGTCTATACAGTGCATCTTGCTAGCAATACTCAGAGATATAAAATCCTAAGAATGTTCATCCAAACGCTCCTTTCCCCTTGCAGTCTTCTTGGAATCCCTAGCTGGAAACTACTTTTCTTCCCTGTGTAGTGTTCCAGCACTTTCCATCACTGGCTGACACCTGTCATTCTCCCTAGCAATAAAGCAGGGCAAGGTCTCCAATGTGTACAGGGGTGAGGCAGGCCGGGGGGACGAGTGAGAGGGGCTGGGGGCCTCTGGGAGGCAGGAGATGGCATGCCCCACCTGTAGGCTGGCCTTCCCTTTTCTTAAGAAAACACGTTTGGGCCAATCAGATCATATGTGTGGCCCACGTGCATCTGCAGGCGTTCCGGAACGGGTCCTGCATTCATGATTTGTTTTCCCTCTAGCTTTTCTTGTGGAAGGCAGGGACTGGAATGCCTTCTTCCTCTGTGCCTGCATCGGGTAGGTTTGGGAACCAGACGAGCTTGGGCCATACCTTCACTCGCACTCCAGCCAGCCACGTGGCTCAGGACAGGGGTTCCTAGGTAGTAGGTGCCCCGTTTCTTCAAGTGACAAGCGGGAGTACCAGATTTATCAGGAGAAAGAGTACAGAACGCCCAATTCAATGTGAAATTCAGAGAAACAACAAAGGAGTTTTTAGTATAAGTATGTCCCACATATTTCAACCTTACAAATCAAGGCACTTAACTTCTCTATGCCTCGGTTTCTTTATTTGTCAGTTGGGGCAAATAGTGCCTTCCCCACGGGGCTCTCAGGAGGATGAAATGGAACACTGGGCATATAGTGCTGAACACAGGGGTGGCCTGCCAATAATGGATGACAAAGGGCAGCTGTTAGAATTTGCAAAGGGGGCAACTATTCTCTGATAATAACATGTTGCCCTGACGGCGGTAGTTTCATCCCGCGGTGATGTCAGCACATCCCGTTTCCTCCGTAATACGGTGGGGAGAAGAGCCGGCCCTGCCCCGGCCTCTAGTAGGGTTCTCTTTCGCCTTTGCCCCTTCATCTCCCTTCTCCATGTCTCCTCGCCAAAGGCCTGGCCCTCAGAGATCTGAAATGCACCCCATTCTGAAGTCGGCTTTCAGCAACCATTTGGCTACTTTAACAGGTCAGTGCCCCTGTTTCCTATTATCTGGGGATGATTCCAGCTGGTCACGTGTGCTGGCAGACCCGGCCAGGCTGCTCAGTGTAAGATGTACGCGCCCTGAACCGTGCGCTCCCCCTGGCCTGTACTGGGACAGAAGACAAGGAAGCCTTTCCCAGACCCAGAGTTGAATTCTGCACTTCCTATCTGTATGCCAACAGTCCTCTGCTCCTACCCTCTCTGGATACCCTGCTGCCGCATGCACTGCATTTTAGGGTGAGAAAATGAAGCAGAAGTCCTGTTTTATACAGTTGCTGGATTAGTGACCAGTCAGCTGTGACTCAGAACAACACAAATCAGAGACATTTAACACCGAATATTTCCTATTGCTCGGCTTTGGAATATATCCTGTCCCATTTGCAAGGTGATTCTTCTATTTTTTTTTTTTTTATTATGAACAATACATTGCTACACAGAGAAATAGAGAAACCACAGGTAGAACATAAAAAGTAAGAATCAACTACAATCCCTCTAGTCAGGAACAATCCTTGTTAACATTTTGCAGAGGTACTTGGGGTATTTTTTTCTCTGCATTTTTGGGGGGTGGGGTACAAACCTATAGTAATACTGCATATACAGATTTTATATTTTATTTCCTTCTTTTATTACATAAGTGGTAAATATAATTGCAAAAAATGAAAATGAGCCAGAAAGTTAAAAAAAAAATTTAACATTTCCTTCAATTCCACTAGACAAAGAAAACTATTAGGAACATTTTGTATACATCCTTTCATTATATTTTTGTGTGCAATTACATTACTTTTTAATATATATAATATTCTATGAATAATTTATAATATGTTTTTCCTAATCATATCTATCCATACTAACATCTACTCCTATAAATATCTAATTTATAATAGTAAGAATTTGTTAATAATTAAAGGTCAAATAAAGGGAGATTTAGTAGTAAATTATAGAAAACTCATACAAGGGAATGCTATGCAGTCATTGAAAAGGTGATGATATTTTAGAAGGATATTTAACAAGTAGGAAGATGCTCCTGTTGTTAAGTATTATATTTTGAAGTAAAAAGAATCTTGTTGCAGAACAGCTTATAGGTTAGTCCCATTTTCATTAAGAAGCAAAAAGATTTATCTATTTATCCACGTCTGCTTTTTTCTTTAAAAGACATTAATAATACTGGTTCTCTCTGGGTGTAAACACTTTATTATCTTCATTTTGCTTCCCTGTTTTTTTCTAAATTTTTTTTTATGATGAACACATACTACTTTCATAGCATGCAAACCAAATCAAGTATACCTTTCCCTCTCATCGTAAGAATTAAGACAGAAGTAGAAAGCAAGGTAAAGCAACGTGTTTTCACCTGCCAAGTAATTTCAGTCTAGATTCAAAATGGAATGTTGGTTTTATTTTTCATGAAAAATGGTAAAGTTGAAAATATATGCCAGCAGAACATAAAAACTGCACCCAACTGTAATGAGAAAAGCACTTTTTTTTTTTTTTAAGATAATTGATGGTGAATTCAATCCAATTCCCCATGGCTGGGTTGCCTGGAGTCATTCTCGACTTTATTATCACACAATTTTTCTTGACTTAGTATCTTGAAGCTTTGTGGATAAAAAAAGTCTAAGGAACATGTGGCTGTTACTATGAGTAATGACTTTTTCTTTTTTCTGGCCGGCTCTCTGAGTAGTTTATCATTACTTGTGGCAGCTTTTAAACACAATCTTATCATCTATCTTCATTTTCTCTTTTGTACAGTAATTCCAATTGTCTTTCATTAATTTTTGCATGTTAACCTATTTGGCTTAAGGGGAATTCTCAACCTCAATATTAGTACAAAAAAGAAAATTGCATAAGAACATGGGAATTTTTCTTCTAAGAATCATTTTGAGATGCTGTTGGCATATGAAATAGCATCCCAAATGGGAAGATAATATCCTTGTTAATCAAAAAACTATTTAAAAACTCAATTAAGAGAACATTATGCTATATAATTAATCTTCATTGCATTTCAATGATTTTGGTCCCCCCCCACCACCACAAAGCAGTTAATAAGGCTTTGGATGTTATAGTAAAAATCAATAGAGTAAATTTCACAATATAAAGTAAGCTAGCCATAGCAGATAATCAGACACTTTTCCTCTGCCGGCAATAATTAAGTCAACATCATTAGAAGTATCTTTTATTCTAAAGGGTTGGATATGCAGAGCCTTTAAGTAAAACTTCACCAGTGAAACAAACAAAAAAACATTCATGTGGTCTGGCTTTTAAGAAATCAGCGTTGAAAAAAGTAAAGTGAACAATATAGACAGTTCTGAGAAAGAATTAAATTACTGAGAATCTGGAAAAATGAGTGGAGATCTGGTCATGTTGAGATAAGCCATGCTTGAATAGCCCCAGACTGGCCTTTTCAGAAGTGTGAGTGTTTAGATTGGTACACTGGCTTTATAATCAAGGGAGTTTGGGTTCATATGCGTTAAAAACTTTCCCTCCTCTTTTCAGAAGAGTAAAATAAAATTCACTGTAAAGACTTAGGAAAAATGAGAAAAGGAGCAAATCTACAAGACACTCAACTTGCACGATCCAAAATTAATCATGATAAATCTTTCTTTCTGTTTCCTGTCTTCAAAAACACTAATGTATGTCTGATCCTATTACATACATGTGAGCAATACCTTGTCAGTGCTGGTGATAGGCAAAAAAGCAAATCCCTGGCTTCTTGACTTATACTTAAATGTATATTCCTCCTAGGCAGACTCACACGTGGGATGAAATGAAGCGCTCTCCAGCTTATTTGCTTGATAGAGGTTTTTCAATTTTTATACACTAACCCTCTTAATTGTGACGCTATTCAATTAGCACCCTTTAGTTTATGATTTTATTCTGAATTGTTCTGAGCATAGATGGCTTCTTTCAGCAAGGGTTTTATGAACCTTAAGGGCAGGTCATTCCACTGTGTAAAGGTTTTACGAAATTAATATGGAATTTGGCTCTCTATCCAACCCCCTATGTCCTCTCTCCAACCTATTTCTATCAACTTCCCCCTAAAACAACAAACGGTATAGGAAGAGTATGGAGGGAGAGAGAGAGAAAGAAATCACTTCTTGGTCTCTTTTTTGGTAGGTCCCCCTCTCTTCTTGACCTGCGCTCCTGGCCAAGAACTTGATGGTATCAGAGAGACATAGCCACCTCCTTTACAAACCCCCAAATATATTCAGGGATTAATAATTTCTATTCAGTATGCCAAACTCATAGGGATGGCATGTTGAGTTTTCTGAAATGTGTTCCCAGAATAACACTTAGTGAATCTTAAGAAAGGAAGTCAGATTCTAAAAACACCTGGAAATCATCTGAATTAATCAAAAACTACGGATAATGGGTCTCACGTAATTCGGTCATAAATTTGTTATTTTTAAAAAGGATAAGTGCTATATACGGACGGCCTACCCTGGTCCAGGCACTCTGGTAGACATCTTGCAAATGCAGTTTGGAAGTTTTTCAAACAGCTCGCAAGGTAAAAAGAAAAACTGAGCGCAAGAGAGACTCAAATACATGGCTTGCTGACTGTATCTCTGCAAATACCAAATAGGCAAAGTCACCTCTACGTACCATTAGTAGACAGAAGGAAGTAGGCTGCATTCTGCTGAGGGAGCCATCTTATTTTATTGATTTTTTCTTCTATTTCTAAACTCTTCAGGTAATCGAACTCAGGTTCATGGCTCTGGAATGTGCTGTAAACATTGTATTCACCCCTACGATGAACCTGATTTTTACTCTGTAGGAAGGGAAAAACAACACACATGAAAGATGAAATCACATAAGCCAACTGCAAATTCACCAATTCCTTCTTTTTTGGGGCAGACTCACTGGGGTGGGATGGGCGGGGCACGTCAGTGTAGAATGAGGGCAGAACCATGGCAACAAGTTTACCTTAGCTTACTGGCCTCCCCAGCATTGGTCATGCACCCTTATTGGTCAATACTGGCACCTCCAATATGCAACTATTTATTTATAAATTATATGCAGGAACTTCTGCACTAATATATGGTGTCCCTAGCATATACATAGAAATAGGTATTAAAATAGGACAACTTAAAAATACATATAAATAGAAATTCTAATCTTTTCTTCGGACATCCTAATGGATGTCTTGGACACCCTTCAGAGTGAGCCATCCCACACCGAAGTCCACACGTCTATTAATCCCTCACAAAGACTCCAAAGCTATGGCATCTGCACCTTTCGCTGGCCTTTTAAAATCTCACCAGATTCTCAGAGAACCTCTGAGAGGTCGGCAGTGCAGGGAAATGGACAAAAGAGGCTCAGAAGTATTAAAATGACCTCTCCAAGGTCACACAGCTTATACATAGCAGATTTGGACATCAGATCTCTCCCTCCCCCCATTTTCTTCTGGCACGAGTGACAAAACGGACATGAGTGCAGAGACGCCACCGGAGTCCCTGGGAGGACTGTCAGACTCTCCCCCCCATGTCCCCCCATCTCCGTTATGCACAGTAAGCACAGTGCGCAGAGCAGGAACTACATTAAGGATGCTAGAACGAAACTTAAAGGATCTGCAGAAGGGGGCAAGGGCAAGAAGAAGGGCGGAGAGGACAAAGAAGGTGTTAAAGAAACAGGAGAAGGGGAAAAAAGAAAAGGGAGTTTTTATTTCAGGTGTTTTAGGATCTTATTACCAAGAGCTTCCAGATTCAGGCTTTGGAAAACTGTGTTCAGAAATTCAAATTCAGGTCTTACTGAACATGTGTCGTAGAAGCTTGACTCTGAAGAAAAGGCTCAATTAAAAAAAAATCATATTTCTGGATGGATATTGAACATTCAAACCCAAGTCTCCATTTACTCAATTTGATGGGCGATGGTGCCGATGGCCTGTGTTGAGCATATTTGTGAGGGTCCTAGGAGTAAATTGTCCAGGAGTGGAGTGTGCCTCCCGAGAAGTCACTCACAGAAGTCAGAAGCCAGCCTTAGATGTTGTCACCTGGCTTTGTTTCTCAGGCTTTGAGTTCATTCCAACCGGAAGCCTCGCCACAAAGTGGAACACTCAACTCCTCTCCTCAACATCTATTTTTTATTGAATAAAACCACCCTCCTTTGGAATACGTGTCCCCCTTCCACTGACTCAGGCTTCTCAAATATTTCGGTCAAAACAGGTGAAACCTATAAACAGCTAACGGAAATCGTGGAGCAGATTATGACCAGCAACATGCTGCCTTGGGTAATTTATGTTAAATAGTGGCTCTGGTTCTTCTTTATCATCACTATGGACCTAATTGGATTTTCTTTTAAAATGGAGGAAGGTTTGAAAATCACTTTTAAAAGGACTTTAAATGCTGATATCCTGCTTACTACAGAGACAGCCAGTCCACCTTAACAATAAATTTATAAGAGTTCTGATTTGCTACCATCCAAATCAGACTGTCAAGTGTGTGTAGTATGTGCCAGACCAATTAGCACTAGGCAGCTCTGGAAAAGCAGGAAAAATTCCAGGTCACGAAGAGCTCTTAGTTCCTACTTGCCAACCACATTTTCGTGTTTCCAGGGCCAGTGGAATAGGCCAGGTGCCTGATTTAATGCTGAACACTTGAATTTATACAGAACCCCGAGGGATCACGATGCCCTTATAGAAATTAATTGCAAATAATATGCAATTACCAAATATATCACCTCTAAATGAGGCTTTCCTTTTTTTGAGGGGGAGGGGAACATAAATGGCTTTGAGGCACAAAGCAGGCTTTCAATTGCTAGGGAAGTCTCTTGTGAATCCTTCCTCCTGCACTGGGCCTCCCCCTGCGCTGGGCCTGGTGAATCTCAGAGGCAGGCGGTAACAGATGGGAGAGGTCCTAGAACATACACGGGCCTGCTGGAAGCTCCAGGACCATGCCAGGGGAGTCCAAGGAAATCAGATTGGGCCGTAATTCTGTTCTGACAAAACAGAAGCAGACACCAAAAAAACTCAATTTATATGAAAAAGAGAAACAATTCCTAGTGGAGCCCAATTCTCAGGAGGAAATGGGCTTTTTGACACTCAATTCACTGGAAGTTCAAACTCCTGCTCAAAATGCACACAGCACTGAGCTCCAGGGACCTCTGCGACACCTACAGTAAAGCACAGGCCACATGCATCGCAGAGATGTCTTTTTGTGGGATTTCACTCCCTTTGGTGGGGTGAGCTATCACTTTCTTCTCTACTGATCCCAGGTGTCCTTTTCACATCTGTTGGCAAAGAGCTATTTTTTTTTTCCCCTCCTACGTATTCCGTAGGAGCACCTGAAACCGGGAGACTTAATTTCAATGGCTGGAAGAGAAATCCCACTCAAAAAGGAGTTCTCTGCTCAACAAACACCCATGGAATTTCGCAGGTCAGATGGGAAGTGAGGTCGTTTTGAAGGTGCAACACCCAGGTTGGGAAAGATTAGGCCTGCCCAGAAAAGGCTCTATTAATCAGGTGCTTTTAGGAGCCTGAATGTGGAACTGTTGATGTTAATGACTTTTTGGCAGTTTTTAGTTTGCTAGCAAAGCAGCAAGGTTAAGGGCAACACATGAGGATTAAGGAACAGTAGGAGGCCTCCTTTAAAAAGAGAAGAAAATGGGCATTTTGCATTCACTGCCACTTACCTCCTGCTCTCGTTGAAAAATTACAACCCGACCCCCCTTGTCCCCTGTCGCTAGTAATTCTCCCGTGTGGTTGAATTCTACCGTAGAGATAATGTCAGCTGAAAAGGAGAAGACAAAGGCAATTAAAGTAACTGCACACTTACTTTGAAACGATAGATAATAGATATACTTTTCTGTGCATTGAAGGGCTCTGGGCTTTGTCTCTGCAGTGGAATTTACAAGGATTTGATGCTCTGTATTTTAAGCGCCACGAGAAGTGGCATTTGAGAAAGTCAATTTCCTAGATGCCCACACTGCACGGTGGGCTCTTGGAACATCTGGAGAGAACAAAAGGGGAAAACACATGCAGACCCTTTTGTTTGGGGCAAGAGAAAACGCATTTCTTTAATGGCTCCAGGAAATGGCACAATTTTTTTTTTTATTTTTGAGAATTTCTATCAACCCCCAGACATTTTACCCACCCAGGATCTTTTGCATTCTCCTTCCTTCTACACAGAGAAACTTCTCCAAACAGGTTTCAAGTACGGCTATTCAGATGCCGGCTGAGGACTGTGATGCACCAGGGCTGGGGGGAGGGGGGTCTCGAAGCTCAGACATGGAAAATGAAGGGACCCCACAAATGCTCCAGCTTGACCCATGCTCCCTCTTTCCTGGTGAGCCCAACACACCCTTCTGGAAGAGCACGGCCTTATTCCGACCACAGGAGCAAGGTGCTGAGAAACAGGGTCACGAGGTTAGAGGGGAGAGGGCAATTTGTACTCCATATTTCAGAACGAAGAAAATACACAGGCGCCAGGAACCCAGATCACAGATAATTGCTGAAGGAATGCCAGTCTGCCACGTCTTTCTTCAACCCTGGTTACCCCGGAGGAACATGGACAGGTAAATTACCTATGATTGGATTTAGTAGGGCTATTTTTAGAAAAAATGTCAGAAGTTAATTCCTCTGCAATTATTCCCCTGCAGGGCTCCAACAATTGCTACCGAGAGTGCAAATGAGTTTGAGGGAAAAAAAAAAAAAAGAGGCAGGGGAATTATGATGGTGGCCTTTGACAGAGGACCATTCTGAAGATTATGTCCATGTGAGGAAAGCAAAGGGGAAACAGTGAGGTGGAAAACTAAGGCAATTACCCCTGCATAATTCAAATCTCAGATCTCACTTTAATATCATCATTTCAGGATTTTCTTTGTATGCCTGATTTATTCAGGTAAGTAGTGTAAAATTCTCCACTTTGCATGTAACTGTCCTGTTCCCTATACGAAAACGCTTCTAATGGTCGTTCTTTGTGCACAAGTGAAAAGAGTAAGCACAAGTGACAGCCACTTTCAAGCAGGTCACATTTAAAACACTTCATGATTTCCTGTTTTGGCCTCTTAGATGTCTGGCCCCAGGGGCAGCAAATTCAAAGCCCTACAGAGCCATGAGGTGCCAGGGCGTGAAGAAGTAGAAAGCCTGTGGCCCCTCTTAAGGGTAAGTGGCTACTCAGCTTATGCCAATTGTGGATATGAAATATTTCATGTGTTACTAGATTTTTTTTATAAGAAGCTGGAAATGCGAATTTTATGCAAAATCTCTTCAATTTTCTATATTGTCAACTTTTTTTTCAAAGCCATGACATTAAAAGAAATAATCTCGTCTGTGGGCTGAAAATGTTTTGTGAGTCACGAGTTTATGACTTCTGCTCTACCAAGTCTTTCTTCAGAAAAGGACACACCATTCCTTACTGATGATCTCAACTAGAAATCTAGTCTGTCCACTCAGGAAGACTCCTCCAAATGAATACGACTTCAAGGAAACACAATCTAAGCTGTGTGGTTACTCAGTTCCTGGTGGAAGTTCAGAAGCCCATTTCGGTAACAAGTGCCCATTGCAGAGCAAGCAAGCCCAGCAAGGCTGGGAAGCCGGCATCACAAGTGAATTCTTAGACCACTTTCCTTTGTTAGAGTTTATGTATCTTAGCAAAGCACTTTCACGTAAAGAGGAGAGAAGGAGGCTGTTCAATGTTTGCAGCCGCCTCAGAATGCCCTGGGAAAAGCACTTGAGCGCTTAGGATGTACTTCTAACACTAGTTCCTGCTTCTGGCTTTTCAGTGAGGGGTTAGCAACGGGGTTATTCATGAAGCTTCCTGACTTTCGCAGAACCTAAAGCGGACATGGCTGCTGCTTCTCACTTCAGGCTTCTGTCAGGTACCCCAGTATGAGGCAAAGCTCTCAAATTACTGAAGACATAAACATCCCCCAGAAGGAAAGAGCAGTGGGGAAGCCGAGTGTACAGGTTACCAGAGTCACACTTATGTCTTTAGGGCCAACAACTGGCTAAACTGTAGTCTACACCCTTCTTAGCTGCAATGTTGACACAGACTCCAGAGTTCTAGAAGGTGCATTGGGAACCAAAAGATGGGCCTTCCCTTTTAGTGAAGTTGGGTATCAGAAGGAAGAGTTAAGTATACCTTTTCCAAGGTCAGTCTCTGTCTCAGTCTCCAAGAAAACGTTACTCCAAGGGAAACAAAATTCACTCCCCCCAGAGATGACATACATACACATTTGTCCTTTTGTCCAGACTCTCTGTGAAAATGTCTCCACTCTCCCTTTCAGGGGTACACAGATCAAAACAAGGTAGTACTCAAGCTCACAGCTGAGCCACATGATCCAAGCTAGTGTTACTAGAACTCTGCGTTATGAGGGATCCAGGCATGGCTCCCGCTAATAAAAATGCCCCATTTATTTTCCAAGTGTTATAATTATCTGTGCTATGCCTTCCTCAAGAACTTGTAAGACAAAGGGTGATTGGCATGGCAGGATTCTCCCATTCTTTAGTCCTCCAGCCAGGACCTTAGCTTTATTCTAATCCTGCCACTCACTTGGTGTGTATGTTAGCTTGTTTATATCCAGCTATTGTCTACCTCCCTTCAGAGCACAGGTCACTGCAGCTCGAGTTAATACCTGTTCTGAACCTTCACGTTTCCAGACTCATTTATCATGGCTAAGCCAGTAGGTGTAACCAGAATATTTTACTGCCCCATCCATCTCTGCAGATCTTCATCTATGACTGTTTAATAATTGATGCAAACCTCATGAATCACCCCACATTCCAATTTCAAGATACCCAGACTTCTGATACAAATACTCTTGTTTGCAACAGGCTCTTGGTAGAGCACTTGAAGTCAGAAAAGCCATGCTGCTCAAGATAAAAGAACTCTTGCTGAGTATAGAGAAGACATGGCAACAACCGTCAGCCCTATGACAACGACTTCATCTGGAATCACGGTCAAAAGAAAGCAATTCATCAGGTTCGGGACGACTTTTACCTTTAACTGACATGTGTACATGACAACTCATTTTATCAAATGCCGAGCCGAATCGCGCCATTTATGAAAAGCTATAAACTGGAGCGTTTGCCCTCTGTTCCGCAGAGATGTGGATAAAGTGCATGTTTTTGACTAAAAACAAAAACCAGAGGCCAAAAGCAGTTATGGAGGTCAAATGTAGTTAACATGATTTTTTAAAAGGAAACCCTGGGAGGTAGAACGTTTGCCCTGTTCCACATTTATTTGGGCTGATTTAATTTTCACAAGATGGTGGCCTGGTAACCCCATTTCTAGTTCAATAGGCACTGCTAAGACTGAGTTTTTCTTTTCTAAAATCCATCTTTGCATCTTACAAAGGTTCCAGACTAGTAAATTCATACATAAAGTCTCCATTTACCTGAATAATAGAAACTGACTTGGCCATTATAAGCCTGTGATTAGGCTGAAGAAATGGAGGGAATCCCCAGCACATGCCCTAGTCTCTCACTGTACCATGCTAGGCTGGAGTCTACACAATGCCTGGGCTGAGCTCAACGATTAGGCGATGTACAGTCCAAAGAGCAGGGTGACCGTTTTGATAAAATTCTGGCTCAGTTTAAATCTGGAGAGGACCTAAACCCAAATCCTCTGGTGGGACAAGGTCTTACTGACCAGGCGTCAGGAGCACTGGCCTCTCCGCATCAATCACAGAGATTCAAATGAGAAGGTAATGCAATTTAGCCTTCAGAGCCCATTAAATGTTTTATCTTTCATCTAAGAAACATTTGGGAGGTAATACTATAAAGTCATTTACTCTTCTTATATCAGCTGGCCAGCTCTGCCCACTCAATACTTGGCTTTCTTCTGCATGGTAAGTTTGGCTCTAGGCAGATTTGTCTGTTTTTTTTTTTTTTAATTTAAATTTTTATTGTTATGTTAATCACCATACATTACATCATTAATTTTTGATGTAGTGTTCCACGATTCATTGTTTGTGCATAACACCCAGTGCTCCACGCAAAACGTGCCCTCTTTAATACCCATCACCAGGCTAACCCATCCCCCACCCCCCTCCCCTCTAGAACCCTCAGTTTGTTTTTCAGAGTCCATCACCTCTCATGGTTCGTCTCCCCCTCCGCAGATTTGTCTGCTTCTTTGGCGAGGATGAGGAGGTGGTCAGCCAAGATGGAAAATAGGTGTCACAGTGGATGACAATGGTGAAATACGGGTAGTTGTTGGAAGGTTTGGGTTGAGAAGGATTTGGGAGGTCACATGCAGGCGGAAGTGCTCTGATTAATTGGCAATGGGCCCTGTGTTCCCCAGTGAGGGATGGGGGGCAGTGCGTGTACCCTTTGTGGTCACTGCATAGGGGCTTGTAGCTAGACTGACAGTGACTTTGCAGCTCATTAAATAAACAGGGGAGTCTTAGGCTCCCGGTGGGAATTAAAATTACTCCTTCCATCTACATAAAACCGTGGCCTCCTTCTTGGGTTCTGGTTCATGTCCCAAAGTCAGCATCCATTTTCTCGGAGAGGGTTTTCTCTGTTAAGTTTTGAAAAATAAATAGTGTGTTGGAGTATAGTTTCCATCAAAATAGGGGGATAAAAGGAGGTCTGGTTATGGCCAAACAGGATATGCCCAACTACTGCTACTGGGATTGGGTCAAAATGGCCTAGTTCTTGGAAAATTTTAATACACTCTAAAATTAAAAAAAAAATCAGGCAATAAAACAGTAGGTGTGCAATGACTGCAATTTTTAAAAAGTATTCTCATTTTAAAATATATTTTTTTCACTGGTAAAGCGATATACA